AATCGAGTCAGTTAGAAATACCAAGGGTTCACACAAAACAAGGGGAATCCGCTTTTAGCTATTTTGCCGCCCACAGTTGGAACCAGCTTCCAGAAGAGATCAGATGTGCTAAAACATTAGTCACATTTAAATCTAGACTCAAAACTCATCTGTTTAACTGTGCATTTGTTAAATGAGCACTGTGCGATATCCAAACTAATTCCACTGTATTTTATGCAATCTGAATTGATTGAACTGTATTTTATGTATAATCATTTTCTAGTCTTAAATTCATTTTAAATCAATTTTTAAATCATTTTCAAAGTTTTTAAATTCCTTGTTTTATTTTTGTGATTATTTTTGATGATTATTTTACTTTTTTTATGTAAAGCACTTTGAATTACCATTGTGTATGAAATGTGCTATATAAATAAACTTGCCTTGCCTTTTATTTATTTATTTTTCTCACCTCCTGACTTCTTCCAGAGGAATGCTTGGTGCCTAAGAGAAGGAATATTTGTAAATGGACAACCTCTGACTGCTTTGGAGTCTGTGAAAGTGGCTTAGCAGTAGTCAAAGCAAAAGCACCTCTTTGAACTCGAGCATGTTCGGTGCAGCAAGGCAAATGTTTGGTGCTTAAGAGAGCTACTTCTTTAGTAGAGGCAGCAAACTGTGAAAGGTTTTTACTAACACATGGACAGTTTCTAAAATGATTTTAACAATTTGCACCATTATGGTAATAGTGATTACGGTAATACGGTATTAAAATTCTATACCAATTTGTCTAAAGAAATTAGAAATAAAACACTAAAAAATAAAATCAGTCATTTAAATGCTACAATTGAAATGTAAGCATCACAAAATTACAATGTAAAGCACAAAAATTTATATTTATTTTGGCATTTGCTAAAGATTACACTGAACAGTGTTATTAAACTTTATTAAAAGTGAATTTAAATTAAAATAATGAAAACATACAATATCAACATATAAGCTAATATGGGACCATCTATACTGTACCAATCTATACTGAATTATAATTTTACAGTTTTATTTTTTAATGAATTCGCTTATTTTCTCCAAGGTTACATTTATTTGATCAAAATACAGTAAAAACAGTATTTATGTGAAATACTACAACTTAAAATAACTTTTCCATTTTAATATAAATGGTGCTTAAGAAATATTTATTATTATTATTACTGTGCTGTGCTGTGGAAACTGAGATTTTTTTTCTCAAAAGAACAGCATTTATTTGAAATAAAAAAGGGGAAAAAAGTCTTCACATGCTGTAAATGTCTTCACATGTTTTTAATGCATCCTTGCTGAATAAATTATTTTTCCTGACCCCAAACTTGACAGAGATAATGTAAATGTAAAAGATAATGTAGATTCAAATTACTTCCAATCATCCATTTTTCAAACTGCTTCTCCTATGTAGGTACACGGGAATGCTGGATCCTATCCCACCAACTCTGGCCGCAGGCAGAGAAACACGCTGGATGGATGGCCAGTCCATCGCAGGGTTAAACTACTTTGGCATGCCCATCCAAATCTACTCATTCATTTCCATGCTCACTATATCTGTACTTGAATTTTGCTTCAGGGAGCATGTTACGAGCAAGGACAAAAACAAAGAACAGGGCACACAGGATATGAATATGAGATTTTTCCGCTCGACTGTGCACAGAAGTTTCAAATGGTCTTGTACCACAGCATTTCTATTATAACTAAATTGGCCTGGATTTCGATTTTCTGAAGGCCGGCCACTGCTAACCATTCTTGTACTGCGGGTCCTATTTTAAGCTACTGCTATGGAGGCAAGCGTGGAAGTGAAGCAGCAAGAGCTGGGATAGTGCTTGAATACACAGCTCCAGGGAATTATACCACAAGAAAATGTAATTGCTTTGCACAGGGGCACTGGTCTTTACATGTAGGGTGGCATGTGTCCGCTGACTTTATCTACATACTAGAATGGGACCAAAAAAAAAAGTGTAGAGGGTAGTAAAAAAAATAAAAAGTATGTATAATGAATGTACACATTATATATGTAATACAGTGCTAGAGTGGGGTTCCGGAATTAAAAACCACATTAATTTTCTCCATGGGGAAATTTATTTTTAACAATAACTTAAAGATAGATCTCTGAGTTTGTTAATCAATAGCATATGGTTTTTGTTGAAGCCATCAGTCTGCATTATTTTACTTAATTCCTGGTGAAAAACTACAATTACCTGTGATTCTATTAAAAAATCTCTAACAATCAGGAATGGCACTTTTGTTAAGATCAAACTTACTACAGCTATTTTCTAAAGTTTTTTCTTTGGTGATGGTATGAACACTTTTTTTTTTTTTTTTATTGAAATTTCCTATAAATGCCAAAAGTCAACATCATTTGTTGAACATAATCTTACCATTTAAGAATGTTACACTATATTATTAAAGTCCAGCCATTCATGGTTATTTTCCACTTTGCTTTGCAGAGGTGCTTGGTAATACATTTCCCATCTTGTCTGTCCTCTTGATCTTCTTTCATTGCTTTTTCGAAGTAAACTGACATCTTATTTCCTTCAAAATACAAAAAGCACTGCTCTGTAGAAAATGACTCAAATTTTTCACTTGTTTTGATTCATAATGATAACACCGCTTATTGCCCACAATTCATCTATGCCCATATGAATGCAGAAATCGACAGATCCATTGTAACACTTATTCATGTTAGATTACTCAAAGATGCTGATATTCACCTCAATTGTAGACCAATCAAAAACTACCATGTTATTGCTAGTACTGTATTGTTATCTCTAGTACAGCGAGCACAGGCTGTGTTGTCCTTCACTCACGGTGTTTCTACACATGAATAATGCATTTATCAGAACATGACAAAAAACATTTCAGGGTATTTGTTAGTGCTGGGCGGTATACCGGTTCATACCGAATACCGGTGA